ATATGTTTTTGAAGACGACGCAGTAGAATATTTTTTATGTTGTAATATTTGGGAAGGAAAAGCAACTGGAGACTCTCCAGTTGCTTTTCCAGTTCTCTCCAGAGAAAAATATTTGAAATTATTAACAGACATTTTGAAACATTGAATAATCTTATCTAGACACACTATGTCGCAGTTTGTACTAATGTAAGCTTTTAAAACTAAGCCAATACTTTGGCAAGGAGAATTGAACAAAAAAAAACCAGAAACATGCTTTTCAGAATTTACTAAAGAAAATAATACAGATTTCTTGTTTAAAACAACATATGATAAAATTGACAGAAAATTTTTTGAAAAATTTCCAAATAAGGAATTTTGTTGGATCTGTGACCCATTTTGCCTTTGGTATTTTCAATTCCAATGTATCTCTAAATGAAAAAGAACAATTAATTGATATTTTTAAGTGACAGAATACTGTGTGTTAAGTCTCTAACTTGCCAAAAACTTTTAGTTGATTGGAAACTAATACGCCAATTTAAAAGGAATGAAAGTAAATTATTACGTTTCTTACATAAAATTATACAGTAAACCTTTAGCTTATATTTAAAACTTCTAAAATGTTTATGTTATATAAGCTCATTGCTTATGTATTGCTAAAATGCTTATGTTATAAACCATTTTTCTGTTATATAAGCATTGAAAGTGGATTTCTCACTGAAATAGAAATAATTTTGCTATTGAATTAACATGGAGAACTTTTTTATTGAAATATTTTTTCTCTGTGACATTAGTTGCATCTACTACAAAATAAAGATTAAAGAACTGTTTTTAAAACATTTTCAATTCGTTGTCATATTGATATATGAAGCACTAGATTAGTGAGTTTTTATTACATTATTGACAAATATAGTTTTCAAACAATCAAAAAATTTTCAGCGGAGATAATTATTTGTCAAATATGAATGTGTTTTCAAAGAGGAAATAAATAATCTTTTACCATAATAAGTGATAAAAAGAAAATCCAGTTAGAACATTCACATCTCTAACAACGTAATTTGCTTTGATTTAATCTTTATAATACAATATATTTTACAATGATAAGGCAAAATCCAATGTGAAAGGTTATGCGAAGATTACGATAGTACCTAGAGTACACAGCATTTCGTATAATCCTATAACCAGATAATAATAATATTAAAATAAATTTTATCTGAATGAAGAAGATTAAGTTTTCTTATTACAGAAACAGTAAAATTATGCGATTACATAAACGAATGCACTTTCAGACAATATACTTAATACTGTTTACAAATGCAAGCCATAGTTCTGTTTATGTTACTTCTCGCCTTTCAGCGCATGCTCAAGAATTACCATCCAGGCGAAACTAGTCGATTTGTCCATGACGTCAAAAAATTCGAAAAGTGGGGTAGGGTTTGGAAATACGCATTGGTTATAGCAAAAAGCCTCAATGTTTAAAAGGAATCAAGAAATTGCCTTGTAATAATAAGAATTCTTGGATGAGAAGCACTATGTTTACTGATTTCGTTTTGAAATGGGACACAGAACTGAAAAAAAGAAAAAATAGCTTTAGTGATAGAAAGCTGTGCTGCATATCTCTCTGATACTGTTCTGAAAATCATTTTAAATTAGTGTTTTGTTCAGCAAATACGAATTCTATCATTCAGCTTTTAGACTAAGGTATTTTAAAAGTTTTCAAATGGCATAACAAAAAAAAGCTGTCATAGAAGATTCTCAGATGATATCTTAGCTAGAGGCTGTGCATATTATAGTCAACGGATGGGAAGCTGTCTCCCAAAACACAGTTATAAATTACTTTAGAAAATGTTATTTTCATTTAGAAAAAGCCACAGAAGAATTTCAAGCTATTTCCAATATTTTGGACATCAGTGGTGAGGGAAATTACAAAGCTTTGCTTTTAGAATATGCTGGAATTGATGATAATATTGAGACACCATATGAAACCACTAACTCTGATTATTAAGAAAGTGTTATATTAACTACAATATTACAGAAAGTGTTATAAGAGCTGCAGAAACTGAAACTGGCAGTGAAAGTGATTCAGAAGAAAGTGACTACATGCTTGCTTTAACTGAATCAAGAAGAGCACTGCAAACTTTAAAAGCTCTTGAACTGAAAGGTGGTGATAAAAAAAGCTATGAAGAGTTTTACGAACTTGAAAATACAAATGAAAGACTGTTGACAAACAATATGAAACAAATACAGATAGAGCTTTTCTTTATAAAAGTTTAAAATTGCATCAGGTATGTAATTATAAATTTTTTAATAAAAAATAAATTTCCAAATTTTGTAAATAATAAAATTTTAGCATTAATTTGAAAACAATAATTTAGGCATTAATTATTAGTTACTATTTAACTAAATAAGTTCAAAGTTGATACTGCGATTTGCAATATTGAAATTGCTGTTTATTAATGTCAGTTGCTTAATAAACTCAAATATGTTTAGAAAGGAAGATTTTAATAACAGGCAGGTAGTGCATATCAAAGCAATACATAATACACTCTTTATTTAGTTACAGATATAAGTAGAAGGAATGGCAAAATTTCATCAGAGGATGTACAGGTATAGTCACACAGCACTAACTGCGCAGTTCCACCCCAATTTTGATAAAGATCACTCCAGGGGTGGTCCGAGAGTCTTCCACACGTCTTCCCCTATCACCAACCTCTTGAGAGTGTTTTGGCTCACCATGAAAGCTCCCTTGCTGCACAGACGCTACATGTTCAAACATCCATGCCTTCTCTGAGATTCAAACCCAGTCCCACCATTATCACTAACCACTATACTGGCTGGAAAGCGAAATGAATAATGATCCCTGGGTCATCTTTTCCTCACTGATGGTAATTAATCATTAACAGCCCTTTGACATTCTTAAAAACAATGGCCGTAATTTTAGTTGATAATAATAACACAGAGCATCATGCACAAGAAGAAAAAAGTTTTCAGATCATGCTCTGTTAATTACTCTCCTGACAGAAGTGACATATCCATGTTTCAGCAAATGACACATAAATTATAAAAATTCTTCTGGATCCTTGTAATGGTCAAAAGTGATAATGAAATCCTCACATAAACTGTTTTCTATACTTCCAAGCCCGTTTACACTAGTGAAACTTTCAGTCCAAGAAATCCACACAAACTTGATGGTCTACCAATCCACTTAAGCGCAAAAACTTGATGGTTTACCAATCCACTTAAGCGCAATCTCCTAATTCCTTGCAAAAATCCTTATAAATATCAATAACTATGTATTATCCTGCCAACAATGAAACTCATCAAGCAGCACAATTTAGCAGCTTATATTATTACAATATAAGCATGCTATAACAACACATTCATAACACCTACACATTTGTTTGATGTCATCCCGATTGATTTTTGATAAGCCATCTTTTGCTTTCATGAACAAGGATATAAATTCGCTGTTATAATATTTTTTCTTGCATTTATTTATTTTTTTAGCGGGGATGGGAATGATTACAATTTCGGATCTACCTTCTACTGAACATGAAGTAGCAGATTGTTTACAAAATTATGGGATCCTATCATAAACAAAAGTGTATATTAATGAACATTACATGGTACTTTATTTAAAAATGAATAAATAGTGAAGATGCAAAGTGAAATATTTTAAGATTTTAAGATGCAAAGTAAAATATTTTGAGATATTTTAATATTATACTATTTAAGATTATAAAAGGATTGTGGTTTGAAGGCTGTAGAATTACATTTATGACTGCACTCTAGCTCATTTATAGCTGGTCGAGTTCATTAATATCAGTTGAATGGGGAAAAGAATAGCTGTATATGGCTGGCAAAAAAGCAATAGATTGGAACAATTATCTGAAGGAAGTTTGTACTTGTAGCACTTTATAGAGAGCTTCCAGGAAAGGTCTAACAAAATAATAGAAATCAACAAATGCTTTTCTATGACATACAAAATGGGTTGAATATTGATTGTTTGTTAAATAAAGAGGTATCAGTTCTTTCAGAAATTCACAAAAATGAATTGCACAATTTTGGCAGGATCACCATCAATTTTCATGGTTTGATGGTAGTGAACTTACACAGTCAACAGGATAATATATAAGTATCTAAATATCTTGTGCTGATATGTGTTTAAGACACAAATACATTATCTTATCTCAAGCTTAAATTTCAAACATCTTTAGAATTTAAGAATACATGATTAAGAGTTTATCATTTTAATAACAGTTATGCAACAGATATTAAATTTATTTATAAGTCTGGTGTAGAAGTATATAATATTGTGCAAAAATTACATCTAAATCTACGCAGCTTTTATCCCCTCCCCTTCTACGTTTTGTCCACACTTTGTATGTTTTCTGATCTTGTGTTTTTCCAAAATAAGGATAAACTATTAGACATGACTAACTGTTATTTTATGACTCAAAGCAAAGGTAGAATGCATTTCACACAAAGAATTCATTCTACCACGCTTCTAAATTCGGAAAATAAGCACAGACAATTTATCTCCCTAATGCAAAAATACAGAGCATTTTTCAGAATAATGCATCTTTTTAATTGAAAAGGTGTATAAAATACTCCACCAAAATGAAAACATTAATTAATGCATCATGCATAGTTATAAATCCTTAACATTTTTAATTCTTTAGAAAACACATTGATCAAGTTTTAAAGTTATCTCTAATGTCAGTAACAGTTGAGCATAAATTCACAAAAACCTAACATTTAATTATTACTTCAATTATAAATATTAATTATGTGATGTACTAAGATTAATTTATGGATGTATATAAATAACTGGTCACTAAATACAGTTTCTAATTGATGTAACAAAGGCAGTGTCTCACCCATGCATGCATACACACTAATAAATATACAAACTTCTTTCTCAAGCCATTAAGCTCGGATAAGTAATTAAGCCTGAATGGCAAGCAAGTTAAAAATAAAAGCAGACATTTTGAGACAAAATAAAATTACATCTTACAAAATACCTTCACTAGAAATGTTATTTCCTGGCAGGTTTCAATGACACTTTTTTTCTTTTACATCACCTGTGTCATCACTCTTTACTTCTGTATATCGCTCTCCTTTAATGCTAACAATTTTATTATCCCGATAACGAATTAACTTCTTAGGCTCCTAAAAAATATGGAATACACACACACATATTTATATACATATAATTCACATACATACATATACACTACTCGACATTGATATTGCTGCATAAAGAAGAGTGGCCCCAAAATTATGCAAATTTCAGGGCAGACACAGGTCACTGAGCTATGCGAATGATGTGAGATGTGCAGCTTTCCAGTGCACACTGAAGATATAAGGAAAGGAACCCTACAGAATATTGAATTTTTGAGCCAGAGAAATCATTACAGAAAATTTGTTCTTGCTTCAGAGGGCACATGTAATAGCACAGAATGACAGGCTATTGTCAAAGTTCTAGCAGACAGATGATTTTATGAGGGGCATGGTGATCAGACAGAGAAGGGCATGTTCATCCATACAGCAAATCTCAGCTGACACACACCTGGATGTGTCCACACTGCACTCGCTGTGGGGACGATCGTTGGAACAAGGAAATGTGGCACATTTGAGGGGTGAAATTGCAGCCAGAGTGACGCCAGCATGTGTGGATTGACATAGATGGCAACGTCTGCAATGGTGCCAGGCTTGAGCGACGTGATTAACGGAATGGCACAAGGTGATGTTTCTGAGATGAATCACACTTCTGTTTATCCAATGATAATTGCCGTGTACGAGTTTCGTTTATCGTCGTTCAAGGGGGTCCTATAACTCACTGAGCCGATGCTTTTCTCACTCTATTATGCATATCATTTCAAAATAAAGATGTTCATTACTGTCTCTCTCTGTTTGCCAAGTTTCATCAGTTTTTGGCCACTTCTTCTAGGTGTTGCATTTTCAATGTCGAAGAGCAGTGTATATAAATTGCACATCATAGATGCACTGACTTATTTTAACAAACATTATTAATTTATTCTTAGCATGGAAAGCAAATCCATTACACCTTTAAGCACATACATTTCTGGATATGTTAAACATAGAGAAAATAACACACATAAATAAAATCCTGAAGAATTCACATATCTTTCTATCATTTTAAACTGTTATTATAACCGTTAGTGAAACATAAAAAGTTAAATATCTAAAACTATTATGAGCAACATGTATATCAAATAATAATGTAAATGACACCACAAACCATTAAATGCTACAGCCTTTTTTTATATTTTTGCACCATTGTTTTCTAACTAAACATTTACATAGAATACAGAACAGTACCAGCCACATACAAAGTCAGATTTAAAAATTATACCAATAAGTAATTCTGCCTATCATTATACAAGCATATTTGTCAAGACTTCACATAAATAAGCAACTATACAGATAATAAATTGTCACAAACATGCGTCTACAACAACAAAGTTAATGTAACTATATTAGGATCCATCAAGTTATGCATACAAATGAGAAAATGACCATTAGTAAGTATTTGATAATGAAAAGCTAGCAAACAAAATGTGAACATTTGGGTATTTGACAATTAAATGGTTACTTAAACATAGAAAGTTCATTTACAAAAGTCTGTTAAAACATATCATTTACCAAGAAGAAAAATGCATTTCTGCTTCTTCAAAATGAGTTAAGTGAAATGTAGATAGACAGACAAGAAAACTAAAGAACTACAGTGGGAAGATACCAAAAACATTTTGAAAAGGAAAAATGGTTTTATAAAATGTGAATATCAGTTTCTAATTTGAAGAACATTTACAACTGTCAAGAAGTTTACTTATGCTCACAGTTTATAACTGATTTTTAAGAAATGGTAGAAATGAGGAAATGATCAAATGTGAAAAGAACCAGAAACCAGAAATGCAGATAAATAAAAAGTTCTATTTAATGCTAATGTCAGCCATATAGTACTTAGCATGGAAAATACACACAGCAATGACAAAAATAAAATGAAGCAACTTTACATTGGCTGTGGTTAACAAAAAAAAAAAAAAAAAAAAAAAAAAAAAAAAAAAAAAAAAAAAGCGATTTTGAGAAAGCCAGACAACAAAGTCTCTTTTCTTCAAGGAGTATTCTTCACTATGGCTGGGTCAAATGTATGTTGGTCTTTGAACTACACCTCTGATTTTTGTTGAGATAAAATTAGCCAAACAACAACTTAGAGAACTAGATTTCCTTGAAGCAATGAGCTACCTACTTCAGTAAATGATATTAACTTTGATCCATTTTCTCTCAAGGCTTTCAAATTCTGATCTCTTATTTATTCATTTTGGTTTCTATCAAGTCTGACAGATGACACAAGATTTTTTCAAGTAACTTTGACTTGATATTTAGCCTTGCTCTAGTATAAAATACTTTAGCTTTATGAACAGCGGGGACTTTGTTGTCCTACTTCATTGAAATATATAGTTTTCCAGGAAATCAATGACAATGTAAAGTTTACATTCACGTAATTTAATTTTAGTTTAATATTTGCAAAAGTTCAAGCAAAGTAACTACACCAGTTATTTACATGAAAGAGACATGAATTAATTACATTACAAAGATCAAAATCTGGACATCTGATATCCAGATATCTGAAACACCCACAAAGAATTTTTTTTTTTCCTTACAGAGTCTAGGAATGGTGACTATACAACTTGAGACAAAGCAGGTATGCTATAAAGATTTTTCACCTGACTAACTGAGATTCTTGTATATCCCTTTCAAACACCTGCTGGCTAGGGAATGTTATATACCATACTGTTTATATGCAATAAATATCTTTTTTGTGTTTGCCTTCCTTCATGGTGATGCAATTTTAATGGGCAGCAACGTAATATGAATTTGAGATACTTACACTTCGGTGGTCATCATGTTTTCCTTTTCATCTACCGTTTACCAGATACCTGATTCAAAACATAGGCCTCAACATCCAATATTATAATGAGACAGTACCTTTTAAATTTGAAAACTTTAAACTTAACTTTGGGACACTGTTATGTGAACTACAGAAAATGGCAAAATACAGGAATCAACCACTAATGGAACCTTCTGTTTGTCAGTACATATATACTCAATACTCAGACTTCACAGCCCCACCAGTACCCGAGTGGTTAAGACTGCTGAATACTGGGAGTTCAACATGGGTTAAAACTCAGACAAACAGGCTGGCTGCATACTCATTTTTTGTGGTTTTAGCCATATGTAACATGAATATGAAACAGTTTTCCTTAAAAAAGCCCTTGACAAAGGCATCCCTCCTCTTAGCTAGATAGCCCTTGTGTGTTTTACAAAGTTTATGCAACCAAACCAACTAGGCTTTATACAAATCAACCCTTGACTGACTAAAAATGTATGCTTAACCCTCAGACCTGCCAGATTGGACCACAAAGCTTGCTAACTTTGGTCTGCGATCAAAAGTAGAACAAAGTTTATAACAGAAAGAGAAAATAATACACATTAACAGTGATAAACTTTAATTTCCTATAAGAAGCTCTTGTCTATTCAAGAATCATTTCCTTAGATATACTCACACCTTCATTATGCAAATACTTAAACCATTTTATAAAGTGATCTGTAAAAATTTGTATTCTTGGCATTTTCCCTACACTTTGAAAATCCTTATATTCCATTTTCAGGGAAAAATTTAAAAAATTTCTCCTTTTGTTTCTTGAAGACTTATCAGTTAAAGACCATCTTAAAATATTACTCACACAATTTCTTTATCGACACTTCTTTATATAACTTTTCAGTAAGATAGATCACCTTTTCACATATAGTACAAAGTCCGAGATCCAGGCTCATTGGGACTTTGATTATTGTGGATTTTGGAATTTCTCAGATTTTAGATTACCAGTTAAAAATCTATTAAGATGATATGTAGAAATTATAATATTAAATATCTGAAATAGTTGTTCAAGAAATAACAAAGAACTTATGAACTTAAGAGAATCAAAATTTACAAAAAAACAAAACAAAACAAAAACAAACAAACAAAAAAAAAAAAAAACAAGCTCAGTGTTTATTTGTTTCCCTTATTAAACATTTCTTTCAATGTAAGTTGTTAAGTTGCTTCATTTTTTTCTGCTGATAATTTCTGTAATTTTCCAGATAGATATAATTTCGCATACAGTTACAAAGTTCAAGTCCTGTACTTACCATGCTCAGAATTCTCGCTAAATTGTCAATCAATATTCTTTCATTCTGGACAACCTCTATGTCACTTTCTTCACTATTGGTAGCATAATTTTCAGGATTTGGAAATATACTTCGGACTTTGCCATCCATTGGTTGACTAATTATTGGTGCACTTTCATCACAAAGGAATACTTCTGATAAATCATCTTCACTTATTATTCATTCTCCACAAATTCCCATCTATTTGAAAATTTTGCCTTTTGTTTGTGATATTCAAAAACCTTTAAATTCACGGCTATCATCATAAAGTTTAGCGAGCATTTGCTCTACAGCACTGATGATGTATCAAGAGATTGGTGACTAAAGACATTTGTTCAGCTAAAATTTGTCTTGCTCCTATTGACTGCTAAGAGCATTAAGCATAAAATGCATTAGTTGTGTTATTTATTATGTTTACATTTATTTACTGTATATCCTTAAGGCTTATCGAAGTCCCAAATGAAATACATTCCCTCATATACTTAATGCAGTACTTTTGCCCCTGCAGAGCATTTTGGCCCGTTTTTAGTTGTACACAATTTCTAGTTATAAGAATAGGTTATTAATGTCAAACATACACATAACACATTGCAGATGATGGCTGTATAATTAACCCCTTCGCGCCGACTGTCACGTCTACATGCCAGCAACGAACACACTTACCTACCGGCCGACACGCAGGCATGACAGAGCATTTTCCTATTTACTACCTACTGTCACGTATTTGTGCCAGTGTCCTGGAACGTTTTTCAAACTATAATTTTTGCCACAAGATGGCACTGTATGTCCATATGGTTTCAGATACATGTACATTAGACCTTCTACTCGAAATGAGAGAAGCATGACTCACATACACATGTTTTTGATTATATAAACAAATGGAAAACTAAATGTTTCCGAATAGCCTGATTTATGACGTCTCTTTAAATCGCACTTTA